TTGGTAACTTTCTGCGGCATTTGGTAACTTGTGCGGCATTTGGTAACAAATCTCTTTCTGAAGGGTTTAGGAAATTATGCATGATATTATGTAAGTATTTTGATCGTTCTAACCAAGGTATTGGACGATTATTTGGTTTAGCGTTCTGTTTAATGTGTTTTCTGAAATAAGACTTCCTCCGGTATTTGGTAACACCGAAAAAAAAACATTTTTTGTGGTCGTGTTTTCTATACGATTTGGGTCATTTCCTATCCAAAAAATTGGGTCAAATTTTGGTGATATTGTATATGCAAGCGGGAAATGGTAACTTGGAGTTACCTCTCTGACTGCTGAAATTTATCAAAAATCCAAAAATCGAGTTTTGTCTCCGACCGGAGACCCACAAGTTACCAATTAACGCCGGAGTTCAAAATTACCGCTGGGGACTACAAATGGTAGTTTATGGATCTTTTAGAGCCCTAGCATATATTCAAGCCATTTACAATGCTTTTGAGATTGGCGAGACTATTTTATGAATATTTATTATCCTTCTGTGCCACAAAGACTGTTGGGAGGGCCTTTTCATCTTGTGTAACACTCTGTTTTGTTTTGAATGGCTAGGCTATGTACTTTTATCAGATCTTTTGGCATCAAAGTCTTGTTGGCCCCTCTGTTAACATCCATAATTTGAAGTCGACAAAGGGAAGTGTCGGTCATGGTAATAGGTTTCAAATGTTTTAACATGGGTAGAAGCCATGCTTAATGTTGTTGATACCGTCAAGTGCTTTAAGAATATCTTCTGTACATCTGTGCCCTAAGGACTGTCAGGGAGGCTTGGGTGCCTTATTAGCACTCTGTTTTGTATTAAAAGGCTTGGGGAGGAACTTTTATCAGATCTTCTGGCATCATAGTCTTCTTGGTTTGTTAACAAGCATAAATTTCAGTGGACACAGGGAAACGCCGATCAAAGAGAGTTTATTGATAATGATAAATTAAGGACAGGTTTTGTGTTGTGAATAAAGTCTATGTAGTATACCAATGTAATGGTAATACAAGAGTAGTGGGATGGTATATACAGTTGATTTAAGACTGCATACAAATTTAGGTACAGAACACTGCAATCATTGTTAATGTAGTGTTTGAAGTAAGGACCGGGGATATCAAGTATATCATTAAGGGATATTATAATAGATGTGGTTTCTAAGGTATATCAATGTATTTTCGGTATAGAAACAATGGTGGTTGTGGTGTACTCATTATAGGAGAGAAGATATGTAATAGGAACGGTGGTGCTTGTAGTTCCTTAGTAGATAAATGACTACCACGGTAGATGAAGTATAAATTGTATATCAATACAGGTACAATGTATCAACAGGAGAAAAAAACAACTAATATAGCAGATGGAGGACAAGTACAATAAATGAGGATTTCTGTGGAGGCGGAACGAGTATAGTGCAGGATACTGTCTTTGAGTATATATAGAACGGGCGTCGTAGTGCAGAGAGTTAATTTATCAGTTTTCAATAGGGACAGGTACAGTGTTGGATGTTGTGAATTTTTTTAAGGTGAAAAAAAAGTACTATTGCGATTTTTATCAACTTATCATCTCGGTGTCAACGTATTATAGTTGTAGTGGAGAATACATTTGGAATAAGTTTAAGCAGGGCAAATACAGTGTGGATAAAGTCCGTGTCGTATTATAATATAGGAATAATGTATGAGTAGTGGTTTATTGAAGCCAGGGTAGAATATCATAACATATACAATATAGGAATAGCAGCGGGCTGTAGTTCATGTCTTTGAAGCTGGAAAGTTACAGAGAGATGGATACAGTTTATGCTGTAGACAGAGAATGATAGATATCTTGGCTTAATTACGAGTTTTGAATCAATTTGGGTACGGAGGTTTACGTTGCATTTGTGGTGTATTAATCTTGATGACGGACGGGTACAATTGAAGATTCAGAATAAGCCTTTTTATCCTCACTATATCACCAATTACCCCTAACCTAGTATACCGGGACACCTACCCATTGCCCCTTTCCTAGTTTACCCTGAACAATTACTCATTTACCTGTATACCTATTACCCCTAACCCTGTTCTAATATACCTTGAATCATTTCTCATTAGCCTCACCTAGTATACCTCTACCCATTACACCTTACTTAGAATAACCCTTTCTCATTACACATGAATTTTTTTTTCAAACCCATTTGATTCTTCGTCTTACTAGCTATTAGAGTCTTTTCATGAAGAATGCAGTCTTCATGATATTAAAGGGTCATTTCCTATCCAAAAAATTAGGTCAAATGTTGGTGATTTTGTATTATTACTGAACGTTTTCAACGGTATTTGGTAACGTGAAGTGCGGGAAATGGTAACGTAAGCTCATTGAAACCGTTTCTAATGGGCATAACAAATGGATAAGGGCATTGTTTGGTCAATGGGTTCGTAATTTTTCACATGCAGGAAGATGACACCCTTGGCTTCAATAGTTTTTGAAAACAAAGCAAATAAGTGATTTGGTAACTTAGAGCGTTATTTTGTAACCTAAAGCGATAATTGGTAGCTTGTGCGGGATTGAGTAACTTGTACGGGGAATGGCGATCTACAGAGGGATTTGGTAACGGTATAACGGATTTGGTAACAAAGCGAGATTATGTAGCTTTCTGGAAATGGTAACTTTTATTTTTCAATTGAAGCCTTTCCAAAAACGGAATGATAGAGGAAGGAGTTGATGTTAAGGAAGAATTATGGGTATTCATATGACGAATCCCTATTTCTATCAACAAATGTAAAAAGAAATCCAGATTCCATTTTTTCCCATATCAAAGATCATTTATGAAAGAAAACTCATCTAAAATCATTGCTTTACTGTCAAACTTTCGCTGAAGTTTGATTATCATATTTTACCTATTTATACATGAAAAGTCAACGGTACAGAAAAACTAAGTGTTTGCTTGTTAAAAGTAAAATCAAACTTGATAAAACAATTTCGATAATGAAATGATGATTTAACGTTAATGGACAATCATATAATGTTAATAAATACAAGAAGCATATAATTACAAATAATCAAGGCTTTGTTCTTCTTCGCCCTATAACTATAGTCCTGCTGGACACGTCATTACTGGTGACGTAAATATAGTTAATAATGAGGACCTTAGATCACTAATTTTAAAAGGTCCTAAATTTAGGGAACCCAGATCCTTCAACTGGCGTAAGAATTTCATAAATATTATGGATTCTGTAGAGGACTACGCCAGGCGATGGGCCAGACATGAAAAAGAAGACCTTGACACTTTGACAGAATGGATTAAATGTATCAGATGTATGTTAAAATCGCGCATTAAAAGATTGAGAGGAAATATGAAAACCAACTTATAGTTCCCTTTCTAAGGAAGAAATTCTTCAAAATCATATGTCAGTTTTGAATATTTTTAATATTCCAAACAACCAAAATGAATTCGAATTACCATATTTATATTGGATTCCGAAACTTCATAAAAATCCTTACAAACAAAGATACATAGCGGGTTCCAGTAAATGTTCAACCAAGCCTCTATCTTTACTCCTCACTAAGATATTAACAGTGGTGAAGGAGAAACTTCAAGAGTACTGTGCAACAATATATTCGAGAAGTGGTGTAAATCAGATGTGGATACTTAAAAATTCCAAGGAACTTTTGGAAAATTTGAAATCACAAGATTTTACCAAAATCAACAGCTTAAAAACTTACGACTTTTCAACTTTATACACAACCATTCCCCACGATAAATTAAAGTCCAGGCTTTTTGATATCATTGACAGCTGCTTTTTCAATAAAAATGGAACTCGTAAATATACTTACCTTGTCATTGGTCATTTGCAAAATTATTTTGTTAAAAAACATTCTGATTGTACACACAAGTACTCTGAAGTTGACATTAAAAAGATGTTTGAGTTTCTGATTAACAATATCTATGTGGTTTTTGGAGACCAGGTCTTCCAACAATCTATTGGAATTGCTATGGGTACCAATTGCGCCCCGTTATTAGCAGACCTTTTTGGTATTCATATGAAGCAGAATTTGTCCAAAATCTTGTACGTGAAAAGAAGAAAACACTTGCTGTGGCGTTCAAGTCGACATTTAGATGTATCGACGACGTATTGTCAGTTAACAATGGCTATTTTCATTCTTATGTCGATACGATATATTCTGGTGAACTTGAGATAAAAGATACCACAGAGTCTGACACATCTGTTTCATATTTGGATATTTTACTTGAAAAAGACGTTAATGGTAATCTAACAACCAAGCTTTATGATAAACGTGATGACTTTAACTTTTCAATCGTCAACTTCCCTTACTTAAGCAGCAATATACCTTCATCACCTGCATACGGGGTATATATCTCTCAGTTGATTCGATACGCGAGAGCATGCTCTACGTATGTACAATTTCTAAAACGAGGTAAATTATTGACAAATAAGTTGATGAAACAAGAATATCAGCTGTCTCGTTTAAAGTCATCATTTCGTAAGTTCTATGGTCGATACAATGACCTTGTCAGCAAATACAATTTATCATTGAGTCAAATGCTGACTGACGTTTTTCATACTAATTGTTAGGCCATTATTTACACACTGAAATGTCGACGGATTTTTCCGTTATTTCCCGATCATGACAAGGAGCACACGGCGGGTGTGACCGTGCGGCAGGGGATGCTCACTCCTCCATGGCACCTGATCCCACCTCTGATGTTTGGAGGTCCGTGTTTGCTCTGCTCCTATTTTGTATTGTATTATGGACTTTTGAGCTTGAATACTGTTCGTTATCTCCATATATTTCATAATCTCACAAGACTAAAATTTGAATTAAAAATCTGAGTAACATAGACTAAGTTTCAAATAAAGTCTTAACCGGTGTACAATAGTGCCATAGTAAACGTAATCACGTACAAACTACTTATGAACTATATAGTTAACTATTATAGTTTGCTATAGTAACCTATTGTTAAATATAGCCAACATTTCTAAGGCTAACCGTGACTTCAACTTCAAGAAATTCACCTTCTAAACAATGTCCTTACTCTGTCAATTATTTTCTTTTGGTACTCTGATCCTAATTTATTTTGCATATTTAGCAAGAACAGCCTTCCCTCCTCTGATTCTTGGAGATGGCTAATCACTGCCAGTTTTGTAATGCCTTTTGTTACGTCCAATCCGCTCAGCAGGACTACTAGAGTTCTCACCTCTATTTCACTAAATGGTCTCCTTCTATGTGGCTACAATACATTTAAAATCAAGTAAGGTATGTTTATAAAAACTAAGATAATGAATATTTAAGCAAATGAAATATTAGAAGTACCAGATAACTTACCCCTGGCGGCAACTGTGGAAAACCTTCGGGTGTTTGTGTCGTTTTCTATTCAAAACACACTATGTTTAAATATCGTCCGATTCATTTTTTAAAATACAATTTCATAATTTTAAAAGTTTTATGATGAAGAGACTTAAGTATTTGATGATCATAGATTTTTTTTTATAAGCTACGTGCTGCAATACATCTATTTTAAATTATGAGTTTCGGTATAATAGATATGTATATAATAAACAAAATGGAAGAAGTAGCGTATACTGGAAGAAGTGGCGGAAATTTTGCTTCCAACAGTCATTTGCTTTTAAAATTACAATCATAACATTTACCTTTGGAGAGTCAGAATCAGGGGTAGGGTTAGGGTTTGAACTACCTTCCTCTGTACCTGTCTGCGATATCTAGAATATAAGAAAATATTTCACCGACATTTTAAAAAGAAAATAAAACATTTTCACCGAAGGAAAATGCCAAGAAATAAATTAAGACAAGTGCATTAAGATATACCTCTTGAATGGAGCTTGTTTGTGCAATCTGTTTGGTAGTTCTTGATGCCTAAATAAAAGAAAATAGGGTTTTTGAGCATCCTTAACTGTACAAATTTGAAGCTTTGAACGTTGAAATCAATATAGAAACGTACTTCACTTTCCCCTTCCATGACAGCCGTTATGAGCCTGGACACGGGCACCGCCATCTTTGATTTGTCTGACATGTGATAATATCTGTCGGCTGTGGAAGGCTCATGGGACATGTGCCTAGCTAGCACATCCCTTGAAGTGGGTACAGCCCTTCTGACTTCGGTGACAACGGATTTTCTGAGCCTAGTTGTAGAAATCGGTTTGTTTGAATCGAACATTTTGTTCCACAACCTGCCGAGACCTTTGTTTAAGGCTGAATTGTCGAGTGGCTGTTGAGGTTTTCCCCCCGTGGACCATTTAATGAAAATCGAATCCGACATCTTGAAGACGAAGTTGGGCAATCTCCTTGCCAGGTGGATATATTTGTGCACAAAAAACCAGAGCTCAGGGCTCGACATTAACGCTTGTCCGGTACCACTGAAAAAAAAATTACGGACAAGTGAATATTCCCGGGCACTTGTCCGACTGGACAAGTGCATTTTAATGTAAAAGAGTCTCTAAATAATAAAAATAACGACTGTTGAAAGTTAATCGGCAGTTTGAAGACGGAAGCTGTACATAAAAACCGGACTTCGATTCCGATAGAGATCGTAAATTGAGTTCACATTCGATCGGGATCGAAGTTCACTAATTGCATACTACTGAAAAGGCATGGGACTTACGAACTTAACGAATGACTGTGGACATTTATGTTGTTGTCAGGACAGAAAGCCTAGATAAAATTTCGTTTTATGTGTATTTTGTATTTATCAATAACATCACGAATCAATCATGCACATGCCATGTGTAATGGACTTTATTTTAGTTTTCAAGTTGACAGTATTAGATCTCTATTGAAAAATTTTCGGACAAGTGAAGTTGAAGTTCGGACAAGTGAATGTCTTGGTCACTTGTCCGAATGAACAAGTAGGAAAAAATGTTAATGTCGAGCCCTGGAGCTCGGGTGATAAGCTGATCATCGCTGGGCCTTTGAAGTCCGTCTTATGCTTCGTTACCTGTAATTTAAAGGTTCTTTTAAAAATTGTCCTTGGCAGAATTTTCACCAAATAGGAATTTACATTGTTACTTATGTCAGCATTTCTTCACAAGACTATATATTTTTTTTTTTACAAGAACTCATTTCTTTGACTGAGAGTGTGTATGCGTGAATGTGCTTAAGAGTATGTTTGATTATGTGTATGAGTGCAACTTTGGATGCAAGCGTGTGTGTGGATAACTCACAGTCAGCGTGACATATCCCTCCTCTCTTAGCTGTCGTTTTTGAATAACGTCGTGCGTTATGGATAGGACGGCTCCTGCCTTCTGGCCATTTGCTATAATGATCCGGAAAATCACGTAGTCCCGAACCTTGATAAATAACTCCATTGTACAATTGATATGTGAGGCTTTCCGAATCTCGTCCTCTACAGACGCCACGAAGTCAGATTTTAAAAACTGATTGATTTCTTCCGGACTTATCAAATTGCCTGTTAAAAGAAACTTGATTAAATATACATTTATATGTCACTTATGAACCTACTTTCTTATGTATGCTTTTCAATGATTTTCCAAGAAACACAAACCTAACGCATCTGCCTCCACTTCTGTTCTTCGCTGCGCAATTTTTTTGCGCAAGCTCTTCCTGGCATCTTTCAACATCTGTATCATTCGATGGAGGTGCTCTTGCTTTCTTCAAGTTGGGAGGTCTGCCTTAACACAAAATGCTAAGAAGTCTCCCAAGCTTCTCATGTAAGCTTTCACAGTGCTCGCCTGCCACTGTTCCATGGCTGTGTTGAACCAAACCTCGAAGATTTTTTCTTCATCTAAAAGATCCCCGACAAAGAATGTAGGGTCTTCCACACCACCTTCCAGATATTAAAAATATGGGTAACGATTTGATGCGCCGTTTTTTCATCCTGAAGCGACAAAGGGCCCTTCAGGGTCGCTTTAAAACGGGCCAGGATTGGAACTTGAATTAAAAAAAAGTTTATTCATATCTCTGATAGCAAAAAAAATATTGAATACATCATTCCATTTTAGCAACTTGCTACATACCGGAAGCATAAAAAAGAAAGTATTAAATTCAATGAGATGGACAGACCAAATAAAGATAAATAGAAATGATTTCAAAATTCTAGAGCATTGGCTTACCGTCGCTACATGATTGGTATTTCTCTCCTGGGGTTGGGCGAGGCCAGTAGAGGATCGTGTCGTCAGAGGACCTAAAAGAAATGAAAAGTCTCTGTTACATCATGTGACATTACGAAAGAAAAAAGAAAGGCAATGTAGGAAGTGAATCAAAACTGAAATAAGAGATATTTTTACCCTGATGGTTTGAGAATATTTCTAAATATTTATCTGATGTAACAATCAAATTCTATCACATTCCTTTATTCAAGAAAAATGAAGATACCAACCTACTGCTAGGAACTTCTTCCACTGTTTCTACACTCTTCCTATAAATAGCATAAAAATTTACTATCAACAACAAACAAGTGGTTCATTTGTCAAAATCATTTTCATTGTTAAGATCTGAAAAGTATTGCAAATGTGAATATACTCACCCATAAATACAAGCTTCTCTAACTGTTTCCATTCTTCTGATTTCCTGATCTTCTCTACCAAAATGTCACAAAACACTTCAGCAAATTTAAAAAAATATATTCAGAATAAGCTTTAATCAATCCTGCTTCAGACCATTCTTTTCATCATTACTATATCCCCTATTACCCCTGACCTAGCATACCCGACACCTACCCACTGCTGTTTTCCTAGTATACCCTGAACAATTTTAAATTTACATAGTACACCCATTACTCCTAATCCTGACCAAATATATCCGAACTCTTTTCCCATTAGCCTCACCTAATATACCTCTACGCATTACCCATTAAACCCTTCCTCATACTCAGTATTCTTTTTCAAATTCAATTGATTTTCGTCCTACCAGTTAGAAGGTCCTTTTCATCGAGAATTCATAGTAAGATTATTACCATTTGGCATTAATTTACGAATTTTATTTGAAACTTCAACGAAAATCCTGAAATAGTTTCCAACGGTATTTGGTAACTCCAAGTGCGGGAAATGGTAACATAAACTCATGGAAGGCATTTCTAATGGGTATGCCAAATGGATCAAGGGATTGTAGCGTCAATGGGTTCATAATATTTAACATGCAGGGAGATGATACCCTTTGCTTCAATAGGTTACCAAATCAAAGCAAATGAGTGATTTGGTAACTCAGAGCGTTATTTGGTAACCTTAAGCAATAATTGGTAACTTGTGCGGGATTGAGTAACTTGTGCGGGAAATGGTAACCTAGAGCGGGATTTGTAACGATATAGCGGGAATTGGTAACAAAGCCCTATTGGGTAAGGTGCGGGAAACGGTAATCTGATTGCATTTCAATATTTTCTACGGGGCAAAGGAAAGAAAAAGAGTATTAGAATGTCAAATTGGTTGTTATGTGTTCTGTGGGATTGGATAAAAGGGTGGGAAATGGTAACCAAGAGTTTGTGCATTAAATGGTTACTAAAATAACAGTATTCGTTCAGATGCCTCTTAGATTATTAAATGGAATTGCCGAAGCTGAGTGACTAAGATGACAATAAAACTGCGATTATTTTAACACTAATCCTTACTTAACTGTACAAAATCCTTGCTTATTTGAAAAATGCTTAATTTTTATGAGCAAAGAATTCCTGCTTTTATTCAATTTTACCCTTAATGTTTAAGAAAGGAATGCTTTTTTTTACTGTGATCAATGAATTCCTGCAGTTACTGAATTAGTCTAACCCTTATCTTGAAGAACAAAAGAAACGTTTGTGTGATATTCTTAATTCTTAATCAAATGTGATTCAGAAAGTTGTTGTATCATCACTATATCACTTGATAGCCCTTTGTGAAACCTTGCAACGTGCAGCTGTCACCCATCCAAGTACTGATCATGCTTGACGTTGCTTAACCTGCATCATCAAGACGAGGGACATGTCGCATAGCCAGAAATGCTATCTTACTTGTAAATCAGTGTAAGTTCCTTTTATATTTCAGCTATTTTTTTGGGTTTCATTATTTTTTATTTGGACAAATGACATACACTTAAACAATTACAATGTGGTTTATGATACACACTGAATTAAAAAATACTAATGGGAAAAGTTTAAATTTTAATTTTCTCAAATTATCTCCGGTATTTTTATCAAAGCTATGCAATGGAAGTAAGCTGATACGAACCGGTCCATCTCAGTTGTTTCTTCCAATTTTTCCAAGGATGCAGTGGGTGAGGATATGCATCTTTTTTCAGCTGCTTCCATGGTACTTTCCCTACAAACAATTCAAATGATTATTCAGCTGTAGTGCAAATAAAATCAAATTTAAAGTCATACAAGTATGCTTGTGCTCACAAACCTTTCATCATCACTTGGGTCTGTAAGGTCCTCCAGGTGTAGAGAAGGTACACATTCATCACTACAAAATGAAGATATATGGATAATTGAAGAAATATATTTCTATACGATTGAATTAATGCTTCAAAATTCAATCTACGTCGTAAAGTTGTCCACAACTTTGGGACTTCGGAAGCGGAGGTACTCAATGCGTTCTCTTTTGGAGATGTGGTGCGTCCTCCGCGGATGGTCCCCAAAGCGCGCAGTGGCCTTGTTGTACAAAATACATTGGCGAACAATGTAACGCCCTTGCTTCACCGGTTTTTGAAAAACCTCCTGCTTATGGACCTGCCTCATATGCCACCGCATATGGACAACTCTCTTCCCACACTGTAAACAACCATGTTTTTGTCAGAGTCTTTTTACAGTTTTCTTTTCCTCAACAGTCTTTCGGATTGATGTTTTTTTTTTCTTTTTACCTTTTCTGAACTTTGAAATTTTCTCCAGGGAAAATAAACTCTCTGAATCCGTTTCTCTGATTGCTTCGTTCAACATTCTCCTAAGCTCTCCTTCCCTGGAGGAAATCTTAGAGCCCGTGATCTCAAATCTTCTATCTTTGGGGAGCGACAGAGACGTTGAAACTCTGTCCAACTTGTGTGACCCACGCGTCATTTGGGACTGATGCTCCAACCATTTCTGTAGGCTATCCTCCTTCCACTGTTTCACAGACGATTCTTCGTTGGTATCATCTGGGAAAATATCCAAAAAATATGACTGTAGCTGTTATTTAGGAAAAACATTGTTAAGAAATAAGTTCATTTTTTTCTTCAGCATGATTTTATCCTTAAAAGATCACGGTTAGCAAACTTATATTCTTGTTTCCCTTAGATATATCAACTGCAAATTATAGAATATCTCCGATATTATTAGATATTATAGAATATCTAGGTCAGATTCATTACCAGAGAAACAAGGATCTTTATTTCCCTGGGACTCCGCCACATCAGCTTCTAGAATATCTAGGTCAGATTCATTACCAGATAAACATGGATCTTTATTTCCCTGGGACTCCGCCACATCAGCTTCCATCTCTACTAAAAGGAATCACAAAATGCTCCAGTTATTACAAAACGCAACTCGATAAGATGATATGAAGGAGAAATAAATGATATATTATAAATATTAAATTAAAAAAAAAATCAATATATATTTGGTGTCTATTATCGATAGGAGAAGAAGCTGAATTATCTCCTACCTGGCACTTCTGGAATAAACCCTCCAGATCCTTTAGAACAAAAGATATACAAAAAATGATTATATCTCTCTCTCTTCTACACACACACCCTTACGGAGAGAGAGAAAGAGTGGGGGGGGAGGGAGGGATAGTATATTAATATATTAGATATATCTTTGTTTCTATGAAAGTTAAAAACACTCTTTATGTGCACGTAAAGATGAAAGCACATGCTTTATTTTCAAGCAAACGAAAGGTGGATTGTTTATTACCTTGCTCCGATGTCATTTCATGAGAGCTATCCCTAATTTCTGAAATGAAAGGTATTCTACAGTGTAGCACAGATACAGCTTGTAATCAATCACGCTTACAGTAAAATGATTTTTATGTACCTCAAAAACGCATTATGCATAGAGTAGGCGATTTGATGTAAGAAAGTACAAATGACTACATGTAATACCTGCATCGGAAGGGAGAGACTCTATACCTTTTTCCTCGCTCATACCAATTCCTTAAAAAAGAAACTATTCTTTACGAATAAAAATTTTAATATCTAGTTTTATTTGTGTTTGAGTGCGATATTCTTATATTGATTGAGGAGAATTTGCAACACATTCCTCTACATTAAGCAAACAACTATTTTTTTTTTTTTTATCTCTATTCATTTATAAAGAAGAAAAAGAAAACAAATAAGAATAAATAATAACTTGTGCGGGAAATACTTACCTTGACCGGACTTGGGAATTGGTGTAGCGGGATTTTGTAACAAAACTTGTGCGAGAAATGGTAACCTATAGTGGGCGTTTGGTAACGGTACAGCGGGATTTGGTAACAAAGCTTTAGGTGGTAACTTGTGCACGAAATAGTAACCTGAGGAACTTTTATAAAAGAATGAGAATATTAATAATGGTATCACAGGGTCCAAAGTATGCTTAAATGCATCATACAGGAAGAAGACACTCTAATGTTTTTTCGTTTGTGAAATCGAAGCAAAAGTGTCATTTGGTAACTTACAGCGTGATTTTGTTACTTAAGGCGTTAATAGGTAACAT